TCTTTTGTGAATTTTTGCCTAGGACCTTGTTAGGCAAATAATACGAGTTCATGGGATGGTAGCATGATGATCATCATCATCACCAGCACCATCACCGACATCAACAGTAGCACCATTATCATGTTACGAATGCTCACACAGAGCTATAAAGCTGAAGGATTCCCAGAAGATGAATAGAGCCCATTTCAATGCCAGTGCCAGAAAACTGACCTTGGTGGTCATACTACTCCTCTGGGAGAATTTGTCCTCTTTAAGATCCACCCCAAACAATATCACCAAACCCTTAAGATCAGGAACTTAGTAGAGAAGACAGGGACAACGGTCATCTGCAAACTTTCCATTCCAGCCAGGAAGTTAATGTTAAAATTCACATTTTTTTGATTAGTTCATAAGTAGAGTTCTGTGCTTTTAATACTTAAAAGGTAAGCGCTATTTGAACATTACTGGGCTAACAGGGGCCATGTGTTCTAGTATCTGCTTCACAAAGGGGAATTTTCACAAAACTCTTCATTTGAACTATCTCAGTCAAAAATAGGAAAGATGAAGCTTATAGAAGTAATTAACAGCCCCCCCATCATGTTCAAAAGCAATCTCTTAACTTTCACAAACAAAGGACAAGGTAGGCAGCATTATTACTATTACTTAAGTTTAAAAGATGAGGAAAACAAGACTTGCTGAAAATCCCCAGGTCACAACTTCTCCCTGAGGAGAGGAAGGGTTGGACCTTGTGTCCAATGGTCCGTCTTTTCTGGGGGCTTCCAGTGAGATGGACACATACAGGATGAAAGTCATGGGGCAGAAAAAATGCTGTCCATCCAAAGATGACAGGGTGGCTATTTATACCAGATAGGCAGATGTCAAGTAAAAGAATTCTTACAAGGGGCAGCATTATAAATGATGAAAAATTTACCAGGAAGAATAACAATTACAAGTATATATGCATCCAATATGAAAGAACCAAAATATAAAGAAAGCATGACAGAACTAGGGAGAAATAGACAGAACTACAAATAATATTAAGGGACCTAACAATATCACCTTCAATGCTGGATAGAACATTCAGATGGAAAATCCAATAAGGACCCAGTGGGTCTCAATACTGTAGAACACATGGAACCATTGCGCATATTTATAGAACGGTTCACCTACTAGGAGAAGAATACATGTTCTTCTCAAGTGCTTCCGGGGCACTTCCCAGCCAAGATCATGGGTTAGGTGATAGGATAAATTTAAGAAATTTAAAAAGTTTGAAATCATAGCAAGTGTAATTTCCAGTCACAGTGGAATGAAACTAGAAATTAACAGCAGAAGAAAAGCTGGAAAATCCACAAACACATGCAAATGAAACAGCACACTCTTGAATAACCAGTAGGTCAAAGAAGATCTCAAAAGAGAAACAGGTAAATATGTTGAGACAAATGAAGATAACAGCACAGCCCATCAGCACTTATGGGATGCAGGCATCACAGAACTAAGAGGGAAATGTATAGCAATAAACACTTGTGTTGGGAAAAAAGAAAGATCTCAACTAAACAATCTACAGCTCATGGAACTAGAAAAAGAGCAAATTGAGCCAAAGTCAGCTGAAGGAAGAAAATAGTAAAGATCAGAGCAGAAATAAATACAAATCATTGGAAAGCAATAAAAAAACTCAGTGCAAATACCGTGCTGTGGTTTTAAAGTTCCATGTGTTAAAATCTGGGTCCTGCCGACTGCAGGGCACTACAGGGAAGCGTCTTTCAAGAGTGGTGTTAGTGTGAGTTCTTTAGGTGATGGGGGGCGTGCCCTTGGCGAGGATTGTGGGACTCTGGCCTAGTTCTCTCTCTTATTTTTTTATTTTAAAGAGTAAAAGAAGGACAACAAAGCAGTAGGGGGATACAACAAATTACAGACAAAGTGGTAGGACATTATCAGTGGTTGTTATCTTACCTATTGGTATCTTCAAGATAGTTTCTCAGGAAAACAAATAGACAAATAATAGTGAGTTACAGACAGAAATGGCAGGAAATTATCAATGGTTGTTGTACTATATCCTGGTTTCTCCAAAGTGGTCTCTAGGGAAAACAAATAGAGCTATACATGAGTGATCAATCAAATAATCATTGACTATTCTCAGTGATTGTTGTTGCAAACACATAGTAACAAACATACATCCATTTATGAAGTAGTATAGGAACAATACAAACATTACAGAGTTATGGACAGATTGGTAGGAAACCATCAAAGGCTGCTGCAATACATGTTGGCATCCTCAAAGTGGTTTCACAGGAAAACAAAGATATACAAGAAAGATCCAAGAAGTAATTACAGTCCAAATGTTGTGAAAAATAGAGGATTACCTCATCAATGACTCCCCTCACTGCAGTATGGTGGCTGGAAGGAAGGCTAGGACTGAAAAGAAGGACCAAGAGACCAGCACCAGTGCCCAGCAATGGGCCGTCCACTTTTTCCTCTATGCTCATGGTTTCACGGGGCTCTTCCTTCTCCATGAAGGTGGTTCTACAGAATCTGAATACTGGGCACCCATGTAATCCATGAAATCTTGGTGCAGACCTCTCCGGAGCTCCACGCGCTCCTCCACCACAGCCTGTACAGTTAGGGGAAGAATGGCCTCCAGGGGGTCTCCCTGGGTGTTGCCCAAGGTCCTCCAGGGGGTCTCCTCGGGTGTTGGGCAAGGTGCTCCTGGTTTCCAGCTCCCCAATGTCTCCCGTGTCCCCAGTCAGGTTGACCTCTGAGTCGTCGGGCATCGGTACCCTCATGTTCTCTGAGTCCTTGTTCATCAGCTGCTCCTCTGCTGACTCCGGACCTTTCTGGCTCTCAAGGGCAGGGCCAAGAGCGACCTGCCCTGTGGCATGTTTTCCCAGAGGTTTCTCCATGTCGGGATGGTTCACCCACGTCTCCGGGTGGGTCTGTTGTGTCAGTGTCAGTGCTTGTTTGTGGCATGGCTGTTCTCGACCACGCAGTGTCGGCTGGCCCGAGGGCTGGTGCGCATCTCTGCTACTTCCCGGGTGCTTGCTGTCTGCCTTTCTGGTGCCAGCTGCTCGGCCCCTGGGGTGGGGCGCCTCTGGACTATTTCTCTTTTCCTTGCTTTGCTGTAAGTGGTGTTGCTCTGCATGCTTGTGTGAGCCCCACCACAGGCTCCAAACAGCAATTGATCATGGGATGGAAACTCTGCCATTCTGAGCTGTGATAAACCTTTTCTCTTTACAAGTTGATTACCTTGGATATTTTGGTATAGTAACAGAAAGCTGACTAACACAGACACCAAGAGTGGTATTTTGAGAAGGTGGGCAAAACTCATAGACACTTAGCTAGACTGGGAGAAAAAGGGGAATCTCATCTATGTAAAAATCAAAGGCTGCTTTTGTGTTCCTAAGCATGGCCTTTGAAATCTGGACAATCCCTCTTTAAAGGACTTATGTTGATGCACATATATAATCCTTGGGCCCTTTCTGACCCATAAATCTGTCTTTCTACAGAACAAAGGTAGTGTGACAGGGCAAGAAGGAGGGTGCAGAAGGCTACGCTGTTAAGATTCATTGGGGAGGGGGACTGGGGATGTAGCTCAGTGATACAGCACCTGCCTGTCAAGTGTGAGGCTCTGAGTTCGATTCCTGGTACCAAAAAAAAAAAAAAAAAGATTCATTAGGGGCAACAGGGAGGTCCTGTAGGGGACAGTAGAGTCAAAGGGCCATCAGTAGATCCCAGAGGCGAAGGAGGCAGATAGTGTCTGCTTGTTAGGGACGAGAGTGTCAAGGAGCAGTCTCACCAGCACTGTGCACCGGGAGTGTCTCAGGTGGCACAACCACACCTGTAGGGTGCTGACGTGCTCCGTAAGTCTAGGACTCAGATGAGAGACATTCCCAGAGACTTCTGAGATCAGATCCCCATGGATAGCTCTGAGCACCTCATTGTGGTGTTCCTTTCTCGGCGAGTCTGAAGTATTATGCTTCCTACTTACCCTTCAGCACTGCTACCCCCAATGCCCACTCTTTGGGGGGCATAATGTTTCTTCTAGATATTTTTTCCCTTTCTCATTTTTAAGGAGACCATCGTTTTGGTGTGCATCGGCAACCTTTTTCTCTGTAGGTTCAGAGAGTAACTCTTTCAGGCTTTCCTGGCCCTGCGGTCTCTGTTACTCAGCTCTGCCACTGTAACACAAAAGCAGGCACAGACAATACCGAGGTGAAGGGCCATGGCTGGGTCCATTCCAGCCTTATCCACCAAAGCATGCAGCAGCCTAAACTTGGCATCAAGCTCTCAAGGTTTCCCTCAGGCTCTGACCCCATCCCTTATGCGTTGTACCATCTCTCAATAGTACCACCGTGAGGACCACGCCTTAGGCAGCTTACAGGCTGCAGATGGCTGATCTGCCCTTTATCCTCCTCCCTCCAGCCAGCCTGCTTTCACCTTCTTGTCTCATTTCCCACCCAGAAACGTGCAACTGTTCCCAACCTCTCCGCACATTGGCGAATTTCCCAAGCCCCAACCAACAGCAAGGCTCAGGAGTGTCGCAGCGAATACAGGAGAATTTCCGTCCTAAGAATGAGGTGAACTCAATACTGAGGCGTGGGCAGCTTTGGGAGGAGAGGGATGGCCGGGAGAATGTTCACACAAGGCCCTCTTTCCAGGGAGTTTGGTGGCACACTGTCATGGGAGAAGAATCTCTGATCCCTGAGTGACTCCACCCTGTGTCCCCGGCTGTCCTCCCCTCTGAGTAATGGGGTGGGCCTTTGGGGCTGTGATGATTCTGCCTCCTCTGAAGCCATCTGACAAAACTCTGATTTCATCAACCACTAACACTCAGGAAGAGCCTGGTGTGACATAAGCCAAATGGAATAATTTTATGAGGGGGGACTCTTTAGAAGCATCTAACTAGTGTATTTTGAAGAAAAATTAGCTGAAGCATTAGGAAAGGAAATGATGCTGTTTGCCAAGCCCTCACCCACTGTTAAGGGTATAAAAGGACCACGGAGGAAGGAGGCACTCAAACCTCACCCGCGTCTACCTCTAGTAGCTCTCTGCTCCTCCACCGCCCCTCCCAGCACCATGCCCTACAACTGCTGCCTGCCCAACCTGAGCTGCCGCACCAGCTGCTCCTCCCGGCCCTGCATTCCCCCCAGCTGCCACGGCTGCACCCTGCCCGGGGCCTGCAACATCCCCGCCAATGTGGGCAACTGCAACTGGTTCTGCGAGGGCTCCTTCAACGGCAGCGAGAAGGAGACCATGCAGTTCCTGAACGACCGCCTGGCCAGCTACCTGGAGAAGGTGCGGGAGCTGGAGCGGGAGAATGCGGAGCTGGAGAGGCAGATCCAGGAGCGGAACCAGCAGCAGGAGCCCTTGCTGTGCCCCAGCTACCAGTCCTACTTCCGCACCATCGAGGAGCTGCAGCAGAAGGTGAGGGGTGGCCCGTGTGGGGGCCCGGTAGCCGCTGTCTGTCTTTGAACAGCACGACTTTCTCGAGTTCAACTGGAGCTCACGCTGGAACCACTTTTTCAGATTCTGTGCTCCAAGTCTGAGAACACCAGGCTGATGGTGCAGACTGACAATGCTAAGCTGGCCGCCGACGACTTCAGGACGAAGTACGTTGAACTTTGGGGTTGGATGATTCCTAACCTGCCGATAGCTCTTTCGTGACCCTCGGGGCCTGACGTTGCCTGGAAGGGAAAAGAAACATTCCTGCTTTTTAATTTCTCCTCCAAGTCTAGTTATATAAAGCCAGTTTCAAACAGGAAGACAGACGCAAGGGCAGCCTGCCCTTCGGTGTACACAGCAGGGTACTTTATGTGAAGTGCTCCCAACCAGCAGGGTTTTAGATGTCAGGGATTTGAGCCTTTGCAACATTAACATTTTCACGTATGTAATGAAGTGTCTTGGGGATGGGACCTAAGTCTAAGCACAGAATTCGTTATGTTTTATTTGCACCTCATATCTCTAGCCCAAATGTAATTTTGTACACCATTCCTAGTGCCCTGGTGTTTTGGCTGTGACCTGTCACCTAAGGTCAGTTGTGGCATTTTCCACAGTGGTGTCCCATCAGTGGGGACAGAGCTTCCATTCGCTGAGCGTTTCAGATTTTCCACTTTCTGATTAGGAATGCTCAACCGTAGCACTCCTCCTGGAAGGGTTCCTTAAACCCCACGATTCAGAGATCGAAGTAGATTCCTCTTTGGAATGGATTGATGTGGGGCAAAGAAGGGAGGGAGGGAGGATCTCCATCCCCATCCTCTGGGTCCTGGCGGGCGCCTTCTGGTGTTGGGGTGACCGAGGGGGCCACCCCAGTGTGTCCATGTATAGCATCAGGGAAACATGTGGGAGAGGAAGCCCGAGCACTGTGTCAGGTGTATAGGGCTGGGCCCTGCCCGTCCAGCAAGACGTGAGAGAGGAAGCTGGGCTTCTCTCCTCCTCCTTTTCATCCTCCCACGGGGCTTTGTGTGCAGGTACGACACTGAGCTGTCCCTGCGGCAGCTGGTGGAGTCCGACATCAACAGCCTGCGCCGGATCCTGGACGAGCTCACCCTGTGCAAGTCTGACCTGGAGGCGCAGGTGGAGTCGCTGAGGGAGGAGCTGCTGTCCCTCAAGAAGAACCATGAGGAGGTACGATTTAAAACAAAACAAAGGCTTCAAAGCCAAGCCAAGTGTGGGGACTCGAGGCAAGAACCGCCAGGCTCCCTGGTGCGGGACCCTTCTTTGAAGAACTCGGCATCTACTAGGAGAGTGACGTTCCCCCTGTATCCAGGAGAGACATGATGCTGGGCCGGAGCCGCACACAGAGAGGAAGCGGGTCTGCCGATCCAGCCCTGCTCTCTGCTCAGCACTGTTAGGCCCTGGATTTGGGGTGCAGGGGGAGGAAAACAGAGGCATGGTTCTGAGCCGCCAGTGCAGTGTGGGGAGAACCACAGGCCCAGGGAGGTGTGGCACAGGCAGAGAGAAACAAACACCAAGGAGGCATGCATGAGCATGGATGGGCCGGTGGGCCGGAGAGGAGGTAGGAGCCCTGCTCAGGCGCGGGGAGGCGGGTTCTCAGAGCTGAGTGAGGCTGAGCAGGGACAGCGACGTGGCCTGTCGGTGCATGTGCACAGGGGTTGTGTCTATCGTCCCGGCGATCAGGGCGTGGCTGACAGTGCTTTTCTGTCAAGCTTGGTACCCACGGCTTTATAACAGGAAGACAGATCCGTGTCTTTGGGCTCATTCTTTCCCCTTGCGCCCCCAGGAAGTGAACACCCTGCGCTGCCAGCTCGGGGACCGCCTCAACGTGGAGGTGGACGCTGCGCCCTCCGTGGACCTGAACCGCGTGCTCAACGAAGTCAGGAGCACCTACGAGGCCGTGGTGGAGACCAACCGCAGGGAGGTGGAAGAGTGGTACACCACACAGGTGGGCATCGGAGCTCCTGGCCACGCAGCTCCCAGGTCCCCAGGCCTCTGAAGGCAGCATCTGACCTGTGTCCGCCCCGCCCCCTTGGCTATTCCAGACCGAGGAGCTGAACAAGCAGGTGGTGTCGAGCTCTGAGCAGCTGCAGTCCTACCAGGCGGAGATCATCGAGCTGAGACGCACGGTCAACGCCCTGGAGATCGAGCTGCAGGCCCAGCACAACCTGGTGCGTGTGGGGCAGCCCTGCCGGCAGCCTCGGGAGGCCCCGCAGGGGAGGCCCTGGCGCCCTCTGGGCCGCGCATCCCCTTGGGTCTCCAAGCTGGGACTTCTCTGGAGGCCCCCGGAGGGACCCTGGAGGGAGCGGCCCCTGACACCTTCTCTTCCCCCACAGAGAAACTCCCTGGAGAACACGCTGAACGAGAGCGAGGCCCGCTACGGCTCGCAGCTGGCGCAGGTGCAGCACCTGATCGGCAGTGTGGAGTCGCAGCTGGCGGAGATCCGGAGTGACCTGGAGCGGCAGAACCAGGAGTACCAGGTGCTGCTGGACGTGCGGGCGCGGCTGGAGTGCGAGATCAACACGTACCGGGGGCTGCTGGAGAGCGAGGACTGCAAGTAAGGACAGACTGAGGATTCTGGGTTGAAGCCGATGGTGGGAATTTAAAGCATTGGGGGGGCACATGCACGGTGGCTTTATTTTCAAGTCCCAGAGCATGCACATTAACTGCGTGACTAGTGTGTGCTCCGTGGTGTGACAGTCAAGCAGATGGGGACCTGGCCACGGGGAAGGTCACAGCCCACGGTCTGGGGCTCTCCATGGAGAGGTGGCAGTAGGGAGATGGACAGTCAGCAATATTTCTGGCATAGGCAGCTTGTGTTAAATTCTACAATAGCTTAGGCGCATGAGACAATATTAAAAAACAGAACTACGACTTTCTACCTCTGCACAAGGCATTCTGGGATAGGGAGAAGGATTTACTAACAACCCCAGTGTCACTGCATCTGATCCCACGCACGGGGAAGTGCGAGGCTGTCCTCTGAAGGACAGGCGCCATGTGCGCCTTCAGCTTCCCTGCCTTCTGCGCTCCAGTCCACTCTAAGCCTGTCTGTCCCTCCAGGCTCCCCTGCAACCCATGTGCCACCACCAACGCCAGCGGCAGTTCCTGCCGGCCCTGTGGCAGCTGTCAGAAGCGTTGTTAGTTGAGCAGCCGCGTCCTCTTTGAAGACGTCTGTGAAGCTATTTGGATCAAGCCCAGGAAGGATCCTCAGGGCCTCCCGCGCCCAGGACTCAGCTGCCATTAATCCCAGCACCGATTCTAGACCCTGACATGTTTTCCAGACCCAACAAGCAAGGACACCTTTCAACTGCCGATGTCAGGAGGACTCCTGGGGGTCTGGGGTTGTGCCTCTTCCTTTCAGAGGCCAGGCTGTTCAGCTCCCTGCAGGCTGGGCTCCAAGGATTACTTCGGGACATTTCTTGAACGTACTGCAATTTCCTGCTTTCCTTTCTTCTCTGCTGTTCTCTTGAATGCAAGCAGGCGACTTCATTTACCTCCCAATAAACTTCATTCCTCTGGCATAGCAAATGTGCTTCTCTTTCATACTCATGCGTTGTAAGGTTCTCACCGGGAGGGCCTCACAAGACATGTCCCTCATGAGGAGGATGAAGGGGTTGAAATGAGTGACCCCAGCTCCAGGGGGAGCCCTGACAGGGAGGGCGATGTCCCGCTGGGTGCTCTCACCAAAGCCACACTAGACAGAAGACCCGACCTTCAATACCCATGCCCGTCTGCCTCGGCTCTGGGCCCTTGCTTGTTTGGGGAGTGCCCCCCACCGCTCCCCATTGGACTGGAATTTTCTTCCTCCCTGTCTCTTTAACTTCCTAAAGACTTGCTTCCGTGGAAAGTCCACAGAGAACGGCAATGCCCTCTTTGAACCTCTCTGCTGCACCTGCTCCTGCAAACAGACACCCCCAAATCACCTTCATCGATTAACATAACCCTGCACACCTAGGTCCTCTGGTCACATCTGAGATTACCTGTGCCCTGTGCTCTGATTCATTGGGCCCCCTTCTGTCCCCAGTGGAGGAAACGCTCAGATCCTCAGCCTCTGTTTTTCTCCTTCTACGTTCCTGTTTCTCGTGGAGAACGGAAACCGCTGTGCAGGTGGCTCTCAGCTCTGACACTCAGCTCAGCCTCCAGGTTTTCGGCTGCCCGTGGGTCAGCTTCCCTTGGTGCCAGTCTGTCCCTTCGTGTTTGATTGAGCCAAGAGCCTGTCAAGCTGCTGTCCTTTAAAAATACCCTTTAAATGCAGTCAGCCCTCTCTTCTTACTTTCCCCTCTTCCAGTTTAGTCCTTCCTTTTGGTCTCTGCTTGTATCTATAATGTTCCAAAACCTCTTTTCTCACTGTAGTGTTTGCAATTCCAAGAACTGCAAAAGGTTCCCTCAGTGTCCCCCAGTAAACCTAACCCTACTGTGCCCCACCCTTACTCACCTCATCTTTGATTTTTAAAGCCCTCAGATAGATAGAGCACTGTCTCAGCCATGCATTCCACTGGACTCTCGCTGATGAAACAAGTACAGTCAGTTATCTCTCTGCCATTCCCATTGGAAGTCCAGGCCTTGAAAATCCAGGTGTTCAACTCACATAAAATTCATCTGTCTTGTCTGTAGGCCACTCAGAGGAGATCACATCTTCACCTAATTGAAACCCAGCATATTAGCTGGGCGTGGTGGCCCATGCCTGTAATCACAGCACTTGAGAGGCTGAGGCAGGAGCATCACTGTGAGTTCAAGACCTGGGCTACTGTCTTGGTTACTTTTCTCTTGTTGCTGAGACAAAATACCCAATGCCCAAAATGAAGGAAGGAAAGGTTTATTTAGCTTACAGTTTGTGGGGGTTTCAGTCCGTACTTGGCTGGCTCCGAGGCAGAAGATAGCAAAGCAACAAGAGCAAAGGGGGGAATGGCAGTGCATGCAAGCCTGTTTCCCCTCCTTATATTGTAAGCAGGCTAACCCCACGCAGGGGGCGGCACTCACATAGTTAACCTTCTAAACTTCTCACATTGACACAATGAACAACATCCTAGAGCAGGAAGGGCATGTCCTTCTCACCCCAGGATGTAGAACCGCTGAGTCACTCAGCGAAACCTCCAGACTCCCCAAGTTGACACAGTGTATCAACCATAACAGCTGCAAAGTGAGCTCAAGGCCAGCCTGAATTGCATAGCAAGACCTTGTCTCAAAAAGACAAAAAACAACCGCCCCCCAAACAAACCCCACAAAAAACAAAAATCCTAGTGTAAACTGTGGAATACTGTAAGTAGAATAAGTAAGGAAGAGCCGGGTGTAGTGGTGCACACCTGTTGTCTCAGCACTTGGAAGGCTGAGGCAGGAGGATTGTTTCGAGTTTGAGACCAGCCTGGGCTACAAAGTGAGCTCAAGGCCAGCCTGAACTGCATAGTGAGACCCTGTCTCAAAAAAAAAAAAAAAAAAAAAAAAAAAAAAAAAAAAAGGAGAGTAAGAGTAACATTAATTCGTATTCATGATAAGGTTATTAAAACTTAATTTACTTCTGAAGGTTTCAACTTCAACTCTGATCATATGACGTTAGCACAATTTTGAAAGAAAGTTTGGTGGGATGTGTTTGAACAGAAGGGTGTGTGTAGGTCTAAGAAGAGGGAAATTTTTTTGCCAAGCATAAATTTTGTCCATAAAGATATGAGGAATCAGAAACTATCTCTAGAATCAGATTATCCCAATTTCTACTTTGGAACACTGGACAAATGTGGTAGCAGAAGAAGGAACAGCAAGGCAGTTATGTTGGACCACACAAGACAGTGCGTCCACGGGTGCCCTTGAGACCTTCTCTGGAGGAGGGCTGCCATGGCAGTTATGTCTAGGCTGGGCTGTGATGGGTCCTGAAGGTAGGTAGAGTCAAGTGGAAGAGAATGGGCACCAGTGAGAAGGCTGGTGAGAGGCAGCAAGGACCGAGGGGGCCAGAGCAGAGAATGTGTGGATTTTGAAAGCATTGCCCGGGACATGGAAGCTGATTGGCAGGAGAAGAACAATAGGGAACAAAGGAAAATGACAGAAGTGAGGAAATACTGTATAAGCCAAGCTTCCCTGAGAAATAGAAATAATAGGCTATCTATCATCCATCCATCTATCTGTCTATCTATCATCTATCTATCTAACTTCCATCCATCCCCCCATCCATCCCCCCATCCACCCATCTATCCATTCCTCTAGTGATAGAGTCAGAGAAAGAAATACAGTATGCAGGATTGGTTTGTGTCATTATGGAGCCAGAGAAACCCCTCAGTCTGCTACCTGCAAGTTGGTGTTCTAGCAAAGCTGGCAGTGTAGTTTTATTCCAAACCAAAGTCCTGAGTGAGAATTAAGGGAGACAGTGGAATAGGTCTCAGAGATTGAAAGCATCAAAATCGGGGGGCAGGAGAAGATGGATGGCTCAGCTCAAGGGGAGAGAAGGAATTCAACTTTCTTTTACTATTTTTTTCTACTTTGGCCCTTGATGGATTAGATGGTGCCCTCCCACATGAGTGAGGGTGATCTTCAAATGTAATCCCTCCCAGAAACACCCTCATAGACATGACCAGCAATAATGTTTTACCAGCCATAGGGGCACCCCCTAGCCCAGTCAAGTTGGCACATAAAATTTAACCACCACAAACACTAACTATGGGCCTGAAGATTTTGAGCCTCAGGCAGTGAAGTCCTAGTGGATCTCCAGTGGAGGGAACTTGACTGGATTTGTAGATGTTAGAGAGCTTCCTAAATAAAGAGGGTAGTTATGGCGGTAGGAGTTAGGACTGTCCAAAAGAAGGTGGCAGAGTACAGAAGAACTCTGGTGATCGTTGATAGAAATGACTGAGCTGACCTGGGACCAGAGTCCTTGACATGACCTTCATCCCTGGTTTTGCCAGGTCCTTGAGGATAGGGGTGTACCAGAAGTGCAAGTGTCCATGAGAGGGCGATCAAGAGCATCCAGGCCCCTGAAGATAATAATCAGACAAATCTCTGGATACAGAAGCAGGAGATTTCTGGGCACTGTGGACGGCAGGGTGTGTGTGGCGGTGGGGGAGCCACATTTTAGTAGCTGGTTCGTGTCTGTCTCAAATTACCAGCTCCAGGGTGAGCTAAATACAGTAGCTCACCACAATACACTCAGACTAAGCATGTAGCCTACTTTCTCCTCCGTGTACTGCTGATCAATGTTTTAGCATCTGTTCTTTCTCCTGATCTGTAGAACAGTCTACAGAAAGAAGCCTTCATTCTTCCTCTGGGAGGTTCCTGAGTCCAGCGTTTCCTGGCAGCTTAGCACCAGTACCTTACACTGTCCCAAACTGCTTCATGTTCTTTACTTTTATTTTAGACTAAGAGGAGTTAAAAACCTAGCATGATTGGACTTGCATTTTTTTTTTTTTTGACTTGCCTTGGTCCCCGAAGCTCCCCCAAACTAGATTCCCATTGGAAGTTCTGGACTGAGTGTGAGGTGAACAGTGGCAGCTCTGCAGGGAGTTCATGACAGCAGCCCCAAAGCCCATTTTGAGGCAGGTCTATCTGTCTTTGCTCAGGCACGTGCTCCAGTTAGGACCTTAACTGTCCCCAAAGCCAGTGGTGCTATTGGAAGGGAATGGAATCTTTAAGAGGTGTGGCCTTGTGAGAGGCTTTTAGGTCACTGGGGGCATGGTCTGAGGGGCTTGTGAGACCCAAGCCTCTTCCTCGTCCTCTCTTTTGCTTGTGGACTGAGGCAAGTGGAGTTGTCTGCCATAGGTGCTGCCTTGCCATAGTCCCAACAATAGGGCCAATTGATCATGAGCTGATGCCACCAAAACTGTCAGCTCACATCAACCTTTTCTGTTCATAAGTGGATTGTCTCAAGTATTTTGTTATAGGATTGGAAAACTCACTAACACATTCTCTGCGCACCGGTCTGGCTCTTTCTCTAGCTCCTCTCTTGTTTGTTCCTTATTGGAACTCTGTTGAGCAGAGAAGACCAACCTGATAGTTCTCTTGTCCTCTCTCTGCCATTTGTACACAGTATCATATAATTGATCTGTGAGTAGCACAATAAGTTCCTTTCCATTTCCAGAGGAATAGATTTGACATTTCTGGTACCTGGCCATGGGGAGGGAGCTGCTTGTCACACAGGGAGGATGTCCTCAGCGGAAAACCTGCCCGGCTCCTCTCCAGGGTTCTGTCCTATGGATGAGGTTGTGTGTGAACTCTCAGGCGTCCATCGTAAATAGGGTCCTTAAGCCTCAAATGCACTTAGTTGCTTACATCTTGAGACCACAAGCCTCAACCACAGCGTCGGCCACAATTACAGGCAGTTGTAAAACCTTTTTTCTTTCTGCTGGCTGGCACTTGATTTGTTTATTGAGGGGTCATTGGCCAGAAACAGTATCATTGCTTATGTAAAGGGAAGAATCCACAGAACACTGGAAGTGGAATAAAAAAGTAATTGCTTCCAGGAATTCCTAGGAAGCAAACTAAAGCCTGTTTCTTTTCTCAATAGACAGGAAGTTCTCTGCCGTCACTATTTGGTGGCCATGTAGCTATGCAGTAATCCCGGTTACTTCTGCTCAGGACGTGCACATACTTGCGTTCTCTAAACTCTGCCTTTTGCTTTTGAAGACACAAGAACACTGAGCCATGGATTATTTGACTCTGATGGAGGCAGAGTTGATACAGAGCCTTGTGGACATATTTGCTAGGCTGTAACATATTATTCCTCTCTTATTCTAAGGACAAGAGAGCTATCAGGTTGGTCTCTGTTCAACAGAGTTTCCAATAAGGAACTAGCAAGAGAGGAGCTAGAGAAAGCGCCAGACTGGTGCGCAGAGAATGTGTTAGTGAGTTTTCCAATCCTATAACAAAATACTTGAGACAATCCACTTATGAACAGAAAAGGTTGATGTGAGCTGACAGTTTTGGTGGCATCAGCCCATGATCAGTGGGCTCTATATAATAATAACATATTATTCCATTATCTGGAACATAGAACAAGGGAAGAAGAATAGGAAGTAATTAGAGAAAAATGAATGAATTCAGGTGTTTGCTTCATGGTACTTGATCTCATTCAGTAGGGCTTGATCAGCTTCATACTGATTTGGAGCCAACACACCCACTCCATGGCTCACTCATAGTGGGATCGTTTCCAAGAGAGGAAACCAAGCAGGAGGGGCAGAGAGTCATGGATTTCAACAAGGGTGTCAGTGCTTTCGAGGGCTTCACTCTGGAAGACCATAAATTTGCTCCCAAGCTTCGGGCCTTTCTAAAATCACACTGGAAACACCTCTTTGGAAACAACTTTTCAAATCATCCAAGAAAATGCATGTTAGGATCTTACAGTTATAACTTGTTTCTGACCCATTAAAGATGCCACTCAGCTTGGTTGTTTATCATACTTACCAGGCTTGGGTCCAAATGACGTCTGGTTGGTTCCAAAAATAAACCCATTCTTAGAAGATGAAGATTTGTCTTGCATGAGGGTAACCAAAAGAATGTGTCCCAGGCTGCAAGGGCAGATCCGGGGAAAAGGTGACCTGGAGGTGACCAAAGGAAATGGAACAACTTTAAGGGATGTCTTTCATCTTTGGAACTCTGGTGGGTTTGACATAAAATCTGTGCAGTTCACAGCTCCACCTGCTATAGAGAGGGCAGAGCATCTGTTTGTCAGAACGTCCCAACAGCCCTGAGATACCATACAGGAAGGTGGACATGTGGGGGCTCTGTAGGATCACATGCTTTGGAGGACTCTGTTCAGACTGACCAGAGTTCTTTTCTTTAAAGCTTCCAGCGGGCAGAACACAATCTCGCTTAGGAAACTTCCAAAAGCATAGAAATGACTTTTGGTTCTTTAATAGAGCAGAGCAGGTATCTACCTCCTGGCTCATCTCACTTAGGAGGGGCGATTGTGGTGTGGTGGTTGAGCTCCGCTGGGCTCCATCCACGTCTGCGCTGTTGCATCATAGTGCAGAGACCGGAAGGGAGAGATGGTGTGAGGCGCTGGAGACAGCGTGGCCAGTGGAGTTAGAGAAATCTGCAGAGGCCCGGCTCTGCCACATAGGAGCTCTGTGACTTCCGGCAATCTCAGAGGCGTGGTGTCCTCATCCTCACACTCTCGCAGGGTTTCCTGGGGACTGAAGGACACAACGCACTTGAGAAGCCTATCACAGGGCTGGGGGCACAGTTGGGGATCAGCAAGCAGGCACCACTGCCAGTAGTACAGCGCTTCATGCGTAGTAGGTGCTCCCCCAATGTTAGTGTTCTCAATTTTCTGGGAAAGAAGGACTGGTAGCAATGGAGTGTGGGTGCTGCCTCCAGGCCCCAGGAGGAGGGTGGAGCTGCTGCCACAGACGGGAAGGAATGGTAAGGGGACATTGAGTCGGACGGCTTTGGAAGTCTGGTCTGAGCTTCCTGGATTCCTCAATAATCTGGGTTCCAGAGGGGCCTCTTAGTTGTTTTCCCCAGAGTCCTAACTGAGTAGGAGCTGGGTAGGCACGAACCTGTCCCTCTTCACAAGAAAGAGGCAACTATAAGTCCTCTGACCTCTGGAGGACACGGGATAGCTTCTCTGTAACTCAGAGCCCCACGAATAAGTGCTGCTGTTGGCAAAGCTGGTTCCTTTGAAGTCAAACCGCGATGCTCTTATTTGACGAAGCAGCATGGCTGGGCGGAGTCCTGACTTAGCAAGAAGCCCGAGTAAAAACATTTTACGAGGTGCAGGGCTCCTGTGAGGTGGCTACCTAATACATGGAAAAATTGGCAAGGGGGGCAAAAAGGACCATGTTTTATGGGGTCACCACACCCACCCCTGACAGCATATAAAGCTGGGGAGAGGACCAGGGCTTGTACCAGTGACTAGAAATCAGGTTTTGAAGCTGATTCTCAGAGCTCTGCTCCCTCAGCATCATGCCCTACAACACCTGCCTGCCCAACCTGAGCTGCCGCACCAGCTGCTCCTCCCGGCCTTGCGTGCCCCCCAGCTGCCACGGCTGCACCCTTCCCGGGGCCTGCAACATCCCCGCCAATGTGGGCAACTGCAACTGGTTCTGCGAGGGCTCCTTCAACGGCAGCGAGAAGGAGACCATGCAGTTCCTGAACGACCGCCTGGCCAGCTACCTGGAGAAGGTGCGGGAGCTGGAGCGGGAGAATGCGGAGCTGGAGAGGCAGATCCAGGAGCGGAACCAGCAGCAGGAGCCCCTGCTGTGCTCCAGCTACCAGTCCTACTTCCGCACCATCGAGGAGCTGCAGCAGAAGGTGAGGGGTGGGCGCCACTGTGTCAATTTAATGAACTATTTATCCAACCTGTCAGATTTGGGATGGATCTAAGGCTGTTTACAATGAATTCTGAGAGTGCTAAAGACGTAGAATTTACTAGCTCCAGTAGGCAATCAATTAGTGTTGGAAAATATATTTTGGGGTCATCTTGTGGGAAGAATCTGGATTGGGGATAGGGTTAGGCGTCAACCCAAAGTTAGAGCCATCTTACTTTGCTTATTACCCTAACCAGAATATTTGATTTTTAAGCTCTATTGTGATATCTTGATCTTGTTTTCAGAGAATTACAGTATATCATCTAAAAAAAATCATGTGCTCTTGAGTTAGTTCTCTGCACTAGGGATTTCCTCAGCGAAGCCTTAAATATCTTAAGTCTTTCAAACCTGTAGTAGAAGACAGTGTCTGCTGAAGCAGGAGGCCTCACTAATATGAATGGACATATCCTACCCACTAGAGCAGGCGGGTACACAAAGGACAGTGCAGGGTCACAAATGCAGGAGTGAAAGGGGCAGGATGGGTACACATGGAGGTGGGACACAGAGGGTCCCCAGAAGAGCCAGTATCTGAGTGGGGCTGAAAGATGAGCAGGAGCTGATGTCCACTGGCACGGCCCCGTGGTTCTTGAGGGGAGTGTCAGCTTACCGTTGCATAGGTCTGGCAAAGTGAATGCCCAAAGGGGCTGTGTGATTTGAATATCACTGATTCCGGATAAAGGGCACATTTTGCCTTGACTGCTGATTTTGAAATGACCAGTTCCATGCATGAATCCTCCTTGTAAAATTCACAAACTGAAACCCTGCATGCACCCAGATCTGCAGGGAAGGACGGTGGCTGAGAGACATAGCTTTTCCACTGGAAGGCCCAAGACATTTCTCATAAGGAGGACTCACTTCCCCATCTCCTTTCCCAGACCCTGTGCAACAAGTCTGAGAACGCCCGGATGGTGGTGAAGATCGACAATGCCAAGCTGGCCGCTGACGACTTCAGGACCAAGTGAGACTTTTGTAACACCAGAAATTGCAAAGTGGGGAACGCTGGGTCCTGAGAATGTTCCAGAAGCTTCTGGAAGATCCTGGGAGGGCACTGAGTTAGCTCTAAGTTCAAAGTCAGTTTCTTCACTGAGTGCTAAGGTCTGTGTTGGAAGATTATTTCGAGGGAGTACGAGGAACCAGTCAGCCTTCCTTCTTTTCCACTCAATGTCAGACTAAGTTTAAAAGTGAATATCCCGCTGCTCTCTTCCTATACACCAGTCACCATCAGCCCAGCACAGAGACGGTGTTAAAACACAAAGCAAAAATCCATTTTTCAGAGAATCAATGTTTTTTTTTAGGCATCATCACTGTAATCTTAAGAATCTTTTGTATTTTTATGGAACCTTATTGCTTATATCATTTCTTCATCTTCAGGCCAACCCTAGGGACCTCTATTTTTACTTTGTAGATGAGGAACAAAGGTACAGATCGAGGGAGAAATGTGTTCCCAGTCCCTCAATGGCAAAGCTGGATAAGTGATCGCTAATTCGGCGCTCCTCTCACTATACTCAAGGAGAGAATGGTGAGACAGTCTGCAGCGGAATTACGGAGCTCAGGGACTCCCTTCAGAAGACAGTGGTGGCAGGGCTTGATGGATAGCACTTGGGAGTGGATTCTAGAACCAGCGCAGTTAATGACAGATGGGTCTGCACTCAGGTAGCCCGCTGACACCTTGACTGTGAGTCTCAGGGAAGAAGTAGGTCTCCTTACTCAGCACCACGGTGCTCCTTATCTTTTAGAAAACTTAAAAGTTTCAGACTATTTTAAAAATCTAATGAATATGACTAGGCTGGCCAAATAAAGCTCAGAAAACACTCTTTCTCTTTGACTTCCTTCCCGTTTGGCTGTGTGCGCAGGTACGAGACGGAGCTGTCCCTGCGGCAGCTGGTGGAGGCCGACATCAACAGCCTGCGCAGGATCCTGGACGAGCTCACCCTGTGCAGGTCCGACCTGGAGGCGCAGGTGGAGTCGCTGAAGGAGGAGCTGATCAGCCTCAAGCAGAACCACGAACAGGTAAGAAATTTTCATGCCCAGCATCGCAAGACTGAATGTTTCATGACTCTCTGGAGCAGAAGGTAGAAGGAGGTAGGTCTTGGTTTGCTGAGCATCCTACAGCTGATAGAGCCTTTTGCTGGATTGTTGGGGGAGATGAGTCACAAGCTGACTTCTTTTACATAGAGTAGTGTGGTCAGGTGATCTCTTTCCCGCTGGGCCAGATGTGTGGCCAAAAGTCCACACAAAGGTTCTGTAAGACGCTTTCTACTGCTTGATAAGATCTATGGTTTTCTGACTAGACACCAAAGTAATGTCCAAGATTGGGAGACAGTGAGCTTGCTTATCTCTGTCATGGGGACAGTTAGAATCTGAGCTGGATAAACCGGTGGATGAACAGATGGGAAACATGGAAGGCAGGCAGGCACCCGAACAGTGGTTGATTCCCATCTCACGGTTGAATGCGATATGGGGACTCTGAGTGCATGTCTCAAGCTTTAGATGTTTAGGCTCTGAAAGACAAGGTAGGAAGGTAGGAGACCAGAAAGAAGTAGAAGGATTTCAGCCTGGTTTCTCTCTATTTAATAGCAACAGTTATAGGTCAATTGTTACACTGGGTTTATCACTGAACAAAAGGAAAATCAGAAGGAAGGGATAGAATCGTGGAATCAGGAGGAATATTAGCAATGGTTTAATCAGCAGCCTCATGCTATAGATGAGGAGACAGAGGAGGCTGCAGTCACCAAGGAAAATGGACCTGGGCTTTACACCCACTGGACTTCAAGTCCTGTTTCCTGATTCAGTGCAGTGCTTTTGCAACACATTGCACTTCCTTAAAGAGAGTTCAGCACAGGCTTGGTTCTGTGGGCTTATTCTTTCCCCTTGCGCCCCCAGGAAGTCAACACCCTGCGCTGCCAGCTCGGGGACCGCCTCAACGTGGAGGTGGACGCTGCGCCCTCCGTGGACCTGAACCGCGTGCTCAACGAAGTCAGGAGCACCTACGAGGCCGTGGTGGAGACCAACCGCAGGGAGGTGGAAGAGTGGTACACCACACAGGTG